ACATCGCCGCGACAAAATCTAGAAATTTCCCGCTTCTCGCCTTAATTTGATCATTCACCTGAAACACCCAAAAACACACGAAATTAAAATTATTCTAAATCATAAAACAATTAAACAAATTCAAAACAATAAACAAACAAATTAAAACACTTGGGTGAAGTGCTTGTTTATAGTCGGAAGCTCGACTTTCTCAAGTCATCATTTTGGAATGTCAAGTTGGACGGGAAATGACTTGCAACTTATCACCCCATCAATATATGGCTTCAATCTCTGTCCATTGACCTTAAATGTTCCCTTTTCTTCATGTGAAACCTCCACCGCCCCATATGGGCAAACGTTTGTAACTATGAAGGGTCCGGACCATCTAGACTTAAGTTTTCCAGGAAAGAGCCTAAGTCTAGAGTTATACAACAAAACTTTCTGACCCACTTCAAAGTTCTTCTTCCTGATATGCTTGTCATGCCACATCTTGGTCTTTTCTTTGTAAATCCGGGCATTCTCTTATGCTTCATGATGAAACTCGTCAAGTTCATTTAATTTCAGCATCCTTCCTCCCCAGCAGCTCGTAAATCCATGTTTAGCTGCTTGACTGCCCAATATGCCTTATGCTCGAGTTCCACCGACAAGTGACATGCCTTCTCATATACTAACCTAAATGGAGACATACCAATTGGAGTCTTGAATGCAGTGCAGTATGCCCATAATGCATCATCTAACTTCCAGGACCAATCCTTCCTGGATGCACTAACTGTCTTCTCTAAAATTCCTTTAAGCTCTCTATTCGACAATTCCACTTGCCCGCTAGTCTAAGGATGGTATGGTGTGGCCACTCTATGTTTCATTCCATATTTTCTCAACAACGCATCTAATTGCCTATTGCAAAAATGTGATCCTCCATCACTGATGATTGCCCGTGGTACTCCAAATCTTGAGAAAAATGTTCTTTCTCACAAAGTTAACCACCACCCTGGCATCATTGGATGGCAGTGCAACTGCTTCCACCCATTTCGACATGTAGTCCATGGCCACCAAGATGTACATATTTCCATACGAATTTGAGAAGGGACCCATGAAGTCAATTCCCCACACATCAAACAGTTCAACAACTAGGATGTTATTCAATGGCATCTCATCTTTTTGTGAAATATTTCCACTCTGTTGACATTGATCACATTCCTGAACTACCTGCAAAGCATCCTTGAATAGGGTTGGCCAATAAAATCCAGATTGAAGAACCTTGGCTGTTGTCTTAGTTCCTCCAAAATGACCACCCATTTCCCTCTCATGGCAATGCTGTAAAATACTTTCCATCTCCTCTTCTAGTACACACCTACGTATCATCTGATCAATACAGTGTTTGTACAGAAATGGTTCTTCCCAGAAATAATACTTCAAGTCAGAGAAAAACTTCCTCTTCTGCTAGAAAGTCATGCCATTCGGGAGCACTCTTGATGATAAATAGTTTGAAATATCTGCATACCAAGGTGCTTCTTCAACTCTCATCAATTTCTCATCCGGGAAGGTTTCTTTGATTTGGGTTTCCTCTTCACTTCCTTGGGTTGGTCGTTCAATCCTTGACAAATGATCTGCCGTCACATTTTCTGACCTCTTTTTATCTAGGATTTCCAACTCAAACTCTTATAGTAATAGGATCCATCTTATCAATCGTGGTTTTGCTTCTTGCTTTGCCAATAGATTCTTGAGCACTGAATGATCCTTGTAGACTATCACCTTAGCACCTAGCAAATAAGAATGAAATTTGTCAAATGCAAAAACCACAGCTAATAGCTCTTGTTTAGTAGTGATGTAATTCAACTGTGCATTGGTGAGTGTCTTGCTAGCATACTGAATTACATGTAACACCTTGTTCTTCCTCTATCCTAAAACTACTCCTAATGCAAAATCACTAGCATCACACATTAATTCAAATGGTAGTCCCCAATCGGGAATTGCAATAATAGGTACAGACACTAATAAATTCTTAAGAGTTTGAAAGGCATGCATGCATTCATCATCAAAATCAAAAGGAATATCCTTAATTAGTAAATTGCAAAGGGGTTTAGAGATTTTAGAAAAATCCTTGATAAACCATCTATAAAAACCCGTATGCCCCAAGAAACTCTAGACTGCCTTAATGTTTGCAAGTGGTGGCAGCTTCTCAATCACTTTTATTTTTGCTTGATCCATTTCGATGTCGTCCTTTGAAATTTTGTGACCGAGTATTACTTCTTCCTGAACCATGAAGTGGCATTTCTCCTAGTTAAGCACCAAGTTTGTCTCCTAACATTGCTGCAAAACAAATGAGAGATTAGATAAACAATTGTCAAAAAAAAGAACCAAAAATAAAAAAGTCATCCATGAAGACTTCTATGAACTATTCCACCATGTCACCAAAGATTGACATCATGTATCGTTGAAATGTGGCCGGTGTATTACACAACCCAAAAGGTATCCTTCTATAAGCAAAGGTGCCACAGGGACAAGTTGAATGTCGTATTTTCTTGATCCTCATGAGCAATGGTAATCTTATTATATCCTGAAAAACCATCCAAGAAAAAGCAGTAAGCATGCCCTACCAATCTCTCCAACATTTGATCGATGAAAGGAAGTGGAAAATGATCCTTTCTTGTCGCTTCATTTAATTTCCTGTAATCAATGCATACCCTCTAACCCGTGACAGTCCTAGTTGGTATCAATTCATTCCTGTCATTCTTAATCACTGTGATACCTCTTTTCTTTGGAACTACTTGCATCGGACTCACCCACGGACTATCTGAAATGGGATAGATTATACCTGTATCTAAAAGTTTCACCACCTCTTTTCTCACCACTTCCTTCATAGAAGGATTCAATCTCCATTGTGGTTGTCCTTAGGCTGACATCATCTTCCATGAGTATCTTATGCATACAAAAAAAGGGAGAAATGCCTCTAATGTCCGATATAGTCCATCCAATTGTTGATCTATGCTCCCTTAACACTCGAATCAACCGTTCTTCTTCCAATTTACTCAACCTTGAATTGATGATCACTGGGAAGGTTTCTGATTCACCAAGATACACATATTTGAGGTGAGAAGGTAAAGGCTTCAGTTCAAGTTTTGGAGGTTCTTCTGTTCTTGCCTTTTCGTTCTCTTTCTCAATATCAAACTCTTCAAATTCTTAATCTTGGCTTTCATTTATCGGCTGAAGTACTTCCAACAATCTAGCACATTCATTCTTTGTTGGCTCAACTACCTCTATTGTTTTTTATTGGACAATTGCACGCTTCTAGAGGTAGTTGAGGGGTGTTCTCTTCAATAGCCTCTACTACTAGTCTATCCACCACGTCTATACTAAAACATGAATCCGACTCTGATGGAAATTTCATGGCCTCAAAAACATTGAACGTTACTATTTAATCTTGGACCCTTAATAGCAATTTTCCTTCTTGCACATCAATGAGGGCTCTTCCGGTGGCAAGAAATGGTTGCCTCAAGATAAGAGGCATTTCCTTGTCCTCTTCCATGTCCAACACAACAAAGTCCGCAGGAAAGATGACTTTGTCCACCTTCACCAAAACATCTTCAACTATGCCCCTCGGATGCTTGATGGATCTATTTGCAAGCTACAAAGAGATGGTCGTGGGTTTCACTTCACCAATCTCTAATCTCTTGAAAACAAAAAAAGGCATTAGATTTATGTTTGCACCTAAATCACATAAAACTCTATCAAAAGTAATGTCTCGTATAACACAAGGAATAGTAAAACTCCCTGGATCTTTGAGTTTCAAGGGCAGCTTCTTCTGTAGAATGGCGCTGCACTCCTCCGTGAGCATCATTGTTTCCTCATCTTCTAACTTCCTTTTGTTTGATAAAATCTCCTTGAGAAATTTTGCATAACTCGGCATCTGTTGCAATACATTTGCAAAAGGAATGTTAATATGCAGTTTTTTTTAATATTTCAATGAATTTGGTAAACTGCTTATCCTGGTTTTTCTTTCTGAGTCTCTGAGGGAAAGGCACAGGAGAGGCATGATGTGCCAACTCTAGTGGTATCTCGGGAAATGGCAATTTCTCTTTCTTTTGCCTTTGCCTCTCTTCCTGCTTTAGTTCATCTTCCCTAGGACTGGTTGGTTTCTCTTTAGCGATGATCTCTTCGTCAACTTCCTCTTTTCTTTTGGTGGGCTTTCTTCTTTCCCTGATTGTTCAACCTCTTCCAAGACTGTCTCACTCCGCAGAGTTATTGCATTCACTTGTTCACATGGGTCTGTCATTATGTTGCTTGGTAGGGAACCCTGTGGTCTCCCATTTAGCTTATCGGCCAACTGACCCACCTGTACCTCCAAGTTTCGAATGTACACCCCTTTATTTCTGAAATCCGTCCTCATCTCATTCATGAAACGTGTGGTCTCTTGCATAAATTTTCCGAACATATCCTCCAGTTTTGTCAATCTTTGCTCCCCTGGTTGATTGTTCACCTCCACTTCATTGTTTGGCATTGCTCTTTGGTTCCATTGGTTGTTCTGCTAATTCTATTGATTCTAGTTGCTCCAAGACAAGTTCGGATGATTCTTCCAACCAGGATTATATGTCTTGGAGAACGGATTGTTCTAGTGCCTCTGATTTCCTGCCAAGTAGTTAACTTGTTCTAATGATGATGAAGCTAAAGCAAACATGTTCCCCACTCGACATTCACTGCTCACATGATTATCTACACAAAATTCACAAGTTAGTTGAGGTGCTTGAATAGAATTTACCTGCATACTTCCCAACTATTTCTGAAGTGTTGTAAGTTGGGCTGAAATGGCCATGTATGCATCAACTTCATGAAGACCCGTAGATTTCTTTGATTGCATCCTCTCATTCAGTCTTTGATAGTTGTTACTTGCCAGAACTTCAAGCAACTCATAAGCTACTTCAAGTGTTTTGTTTTGCAGTGCTCCTCCCGATGCTACATCCACCATCATTTGCACATTAACCATCAACGCATTGTAAAATGTTTGGACTTGCATCCAAACTAGCAAACCATGATGTGGACGCCTCCTCAATAATCCTTTGTATCTTTCCCAAGCCTCATATAGTGATTTTGTCTCTTCCTGTAGAAAAGATGTGATATCATTTCTCAACTTTGCAGATTTTGCTGGAGGAAAGAATTTGGTCAGGAACTTCTATGCTAATTCATTCCAGGTTGTGATCGTTCCTAGTGGTCATGCTATTAACCATCCCTTTGCTTTATCCCTTAATGAAAAACGGAACAATCTCAATCTGATGGCGTCATCTGACACTCCATTTGACTTAAATGTGTCGCAAATCTCTAAAAAGTTTGCAATGTGCAGATTTGGATCTTCCTTCAAATCTCCCTTAACTGTACCGACTGTTGGATCATCTGGATGATTGTCGGCTTTATTTCAAAGTTGTTGGCTTGTACTGCTGGTCTAGTTATGCTTGAACCACTGCCATCAACCATGGGACTTGAGAATTCCCTCAATGTTCTATTTTCTGCCATCTCCACAACTATCGCCTCTCATTCTCTTCTCTCTCTGTTAAGTCTTCTTGCTGTTCTTTCAATCTTGCAGATCTTTCAATCTCTGGATCAACAGGAATCACTAGCTGATGTCTAGCTCTTCATATAAACTACACAGAAAGAGAGAAAGCGTGAGATTACAAGCTCACATAAAAGAACAACAAAAAATAATTAAACTATAAAACAATTAAAACAAAAATTAAACTCCAATCTAGCTAACACAAGAAAAGCTCAATGTTAACACAAAAATCAATCCTTAGCAACGGTGCCAAAAACCTGATGCGTTGTAACTACAACATGCAAATATAGCAAGCGCACTAGTCAAACAAAGTAATAAAGTGATAAGAAAAGTATTGTTCCCACGAGGATTGTTTGTTAAGCACTGATTTCCTAATAGTTGACAAGTTGGACAAAACGAAAATGTTGGATTTTGTAGGAGAATTTTAAGCTAAAGTGAAAACAAAATTAATTACTAATTAAAGGGTAATTAAAGACAATAAAACAAATTCAAGAGAGAAAATCAATTAAGGCAAACGGTTAGGGTTTTGACTTCACTAGAGTTTTATGAAATAATCTACGAATTATGCTACTTCTACACTCACATGCATGGATTACAACTCGGACTCCCTAATGTGTAAAACATACCTTCTTAGGCTATGTTTTTCTACTTTTCCCTATTAAGCTTCCGCACCCAACAATTGGAAGATTAATAGATTCAAGTTCATTAAGCTAATGGAATCCTAAATAGAATTCATTGATTCTCGAACCTATCTCTAGCGTTTGAAACAACAATGGTGATTATCCTAAGAAGCTCACACATGATTCATTTCTCAATCTTATCATGTTCAACAAATAAATTCAATAAAAACAAGAATAATCACACAACCCATGCAATAGAATGTAAAAGCAACAAAACTCTATTGATTGAACATAAAATCTCTAATTACATCAAAACCCTAATCCAAAGTGAGTTAGTTTATAATGAAATTAACACAAATCGAAATAAAAATAGTAAACAATGTATTCAACATAATGGAGTAAGAAAAGAGAACGAAAATCTCCCCTATGATGAATCCCAATGAGTTCCATCATGATCTTCTCTCCTTTTCTCTCAAAAATGTTAAACTTTCTCTAAAAGTGACAAACCTCTCTAAAAATGGATAAGTTTTTCTTATATAGTCATCCAAAAACCTAAAAACTTTCCTAAAATAAAACTGTGCGTTTTGACGAAAACTGGAAATCGCAGACTTCGCCGTGGCTACGAATTCCTAAGAGCTTATGGCGTCTTCACAGCGGCGAACCTTTTTGAACAATTCTGAAATTACGAAATTGCCCTCCGCTTGCTTCCTTGCTTGAATCTTCACTCTTTGGTCCTTTCCAAATGAAACAAGCTTCATAGGGCTTCAAATTTGCTTCAGAACTTCCCCGAATTCTAACATTCACTCGCTTCTAGGTCCAGAAACTCAATTCTGCTTTTTATTTGCTCAAAGTGTACATTTCGGCCTGAAACATAAAACATATGAAATTAAGTTGCAATTCAGGCACAAATGAAATAAGAAGTATCTAAAATCCAGCCAAAAAGCCTAGATAAAACAGTGTAATCCTCGAATTATCAAGTTCCTGTTCTGATTTACATAACTTTCATTCAACTAATTTACATTCAATCACAGATAAAATTGTTGAAAATTATCATTTGCATTCTACTGAAAGACATGATTTTCATTCTGCTCACTCAACCACACAGCCACTTCTTAGTTCTGGTTCAGTTAACCAGAGTTCACAACCTACTAAGTTTCTTGGTTCTAGTTGTTTAACCATACCATCAACTAGCTTTAACACTATTACCTTTCACACACAATCAACTTCTCCATCTAAAACTTTACCCTAATATATACAACCTACTAACTCTCACTCCACTGTTCTGCATACTTAACCAACTGCTTTATGAGAAACTGAGCAGTTAAACTCACACTCAACTAGTTCTGATCGTATTCATGACAAAACATCTAACTCACCCTAAGTTTTTCAAGTCGCCAACACTAGGGATAATTCTCTAACACTTTGGCACAATAGACTTGGGCACCCTCATGCTGAAATCTTACACAAAATTCTGCTAAAGATAAATAAAAATTCGTCCACTCATTTAGTTGATCTCAACTTTTCATTAGGCTTTTGTGATGCTTGCAAAATGGGCAAGTTACACAAAAATCACTTTCCTATTTCTCATACTAGAGCAAATCTACCACTTGAAATTATTCATAGTGATATTTGGGTCCAACCCCTATGGCTTCCTTAGAAGGCTTTAGATACTATATACACTTCATAAATGATTATAGTAGATATACATGGATGTTTCCTTTAAGAACCAAGGCTGAAGTAAACCTTTTTTTTTTTTTTTTTTTTTTTGGTTAAATTTCATCATTTGGTTGAAAGACAATTCAATTATATGTTGAAATGCTTACAATCTAATTAGGGAGCTAAATACAAGGGTTTAATTCCTTACCTAACTAATGCTGGCATTCTTTTTAGGCACTCTTGTGCATATGTTCACCAACAAAATGGTAAAGGTGAAAGAAAACATAGACATATTGCTGAAACTGACCTTACACTCCTTGCACATGCATTCATGCCTTTACACTTTTGGTGGTTGGCCTTTGATTTTGTTGTATTTCTCATAAATAGATTGCCTACATCAATACTGAATTTTGTTTCTCCATATCAGACTTTGTTTTGTCATGAACTTCTTTACTTAACTCTTAAAGCTTTTGGGTATGCTTGTTTTCCATATTTGAAAGATTTTCAAAAACACAAATTCAATTTCTACTCTTCCAAGTGTGTTTTTGTTGGTTATAGCCTTGTACAGAAGGGTTATAAATGTCTCAACTTTGATAGTAAAATTTTTATTACCCCTAGTGTTCAATTTAATGAGACAGAGTTTCCTTTTACCCTTGGTTTCTATTCTAATGTGTCCAAGTCTTCCACTTCTCAAAGTTCTTTAGAGTCTCTCATTTCTTCAGGTCTTAAGTCTTCAGTCTCTAATTTTCCTTTTGTTTCAATACCATCAGCAACTAATAACAGGCCACAAGTCACTCCTGCAATGGACTACTCTCCACCAAATCCTTCTTCAGCAATTGGTAAGTCATCTTCTTCTTCTTTGATCCATATTTCCTCTACTTTATCTCCCAATTCTAATTCACCTATACACCATCCTATACACTCTTCAATATCACTTGTTTCCTCTAGTGACAGTCCCTTTTGTGCACCTAATGCTAGCACTTCATAATACCCACTACATCTTCTTCAACTCCGTCATCTTGCCCTTTAGTTGTTGATCTCACCTCATTTCCTCCCTTGGCACACAAGTCTCAACCATTACCAACATTGAGACAATCGAATTCATCTAGCTACCCACTTATTATTGACTTACATTCATCACAATTCCCTACTGAAACATGCCTACCCTCACCTTCTACTTCCTTATCATAGCCAAATATCTCTTCCACTAATACATATCCCATGCAAACTAGAGCCAAGACAGCCTCCCAACGAGCTCTTAGCAACCCAACCTTACAACACATTATTGATCCTGGAAATACAACCTCTAGGAACACTGATGTCCTTCGGCCAACATCTCAAAACAACACTGCTCTTATCATTTCAAAGCATGCTCTTCTATCACCTACTTATTCAGAACCTTCAACAGTAATAGAGCTCTGGCTAATCCTGACTGGAATAAGGCAATGTAGGAAGAGTTTAATGCTTTAATGGCTAATGATACTTGGCTGTTAGTTCCTAAAACATCATATATGAATTTTGTTGGGAACAAATGGGTCTTTAGAACCAAGTTTCATGCTTATGGGAGTTTACAAAAGTATAAGGCTAGATTAGTAGCCAAAGGACTCCAACAAACTCCAAGGTTGGATTACTTTGAAACTTTCAACCCTATTATCAAACCATCAACTATCCATATTATTTTCTCTCTTGTTGTCTCAAATGGATGGGATATATAGCAAATCGACATCAATAATACTTTCCTCAATGGTACTCTAAGTGAAACAATCTTTATGAAACAACCTAAAGGTTTGGAGAGTTCTCAGTACCCTTTTCATGTGTGCAAGCTTACAAAGGCACTTTTTGGTCTTAAACAAGCCCCAAGGGCCTGGTTTGACAAGCTTAAACAAGCCTTGCTAGACAGAAAGTTTGTAAACTCCATTTTTTACTCAAGTTTGTTCATCTACAAGGACAATTCTCAGGTTTTGTATGTCCTTATTTATGCGGATGACATACTTATTACTAGTTCAATACATCCTCAATTCAGCAACTTATTGAAGGATTGAATCATCAGTTTGCATTAAAAAGTTTTGGATCGGTCTCTTATTTCTTGGGATTGGAAGCAATAAGAAATACAGAAGGGCTTCACTTGAAACAAACCAAATATATCACTAATCTTCTTGTTAAAACAAAATTGCAAGATTCTCATCCTTGTCCAACACCCATGGCTGTTGGAACCAAGTTTTTTTATAGGTGACAGTGAGTCGTTCTAGGATCCTAGTCTCTATAGAAGTACTATCAAAGCTTTACAATATTTGACTTTAACTAGGCCAG